AAAATATCAAATGAGTCTCCATATGTAGCACAGCTAAGCATTAGTCTAGAAACCTTGTCCTCAGTTGTGTGTATTCATGATGGATTCTAAAATAAATGGATTTCTTACTGCAGGCTATGGGAAAAAATGTAAATATTTTATTATAGTTATTTTATGTGTATGAGTGTATTGCCTGCATGTATGTAAGCACATCTGTGTCATGCAATGCCCACAGAAGTCAGAAGAGGGCATCAGATCCCGTGGAACTGGAGTTATGGACGGTTGTTAGCTACCATATGGGTACTAGGAGTCGAACTTGGGTCTTCTACAAGAGCAGCCAGTCCTCTTAAATGCTAAGCCTTCTCTCCAGTCCCTATGGCAAAAATTTTTGAAAAAAATATTGCACTACTCCCTACTGAATTTGAACTAAGGAAAGTCCCACAAAGGTGACACTTTTCCAGGAGTAACAGTTTCACTTGGCCTTTGGTGGGCCTAGGAGTTGTCAGCACAAAGGGACTTGCAGCAGAGCAGTAGGAACCATGTCATGTGCATATTTTGTTTCGAAAAAAGTGGAAAATCAGAGCCAGTGAGATGACTCAGCAAGTAAGAGTGCTTGTTGCCAAGCCCAACAACCTGAGTTCAATCCTCAGGACCCACAAGGTGGAAAGAGAAAACCAACTCCTATAAGTTGTCCTCTGATCTCCATGCATGTGCCATGGTACACTTGTACTCCCATGCCTACACACACACACACAAAATGTCTAAAAAAGACTATTTAGAGAGCTGGCGAGATGGCTCAGTGGTTAAGAGCACTGACTGCCCAGGTTCGATTCCCAGCAACCACATGATGGCTACAAACCATCCTTAACTCCAGTTCCAGGGGAATCCGAAGCCCTCTTCTGACCTCCGCGGCATTGCACGACATGGGTGCACTCACATACATGCAGGCAATATACTTATACACATAAAAAAAATAAAATAAGACTAAAATTTTTTAAAAATAGAAAAACCAATGGCTGTATTCTCTCTCTAAATATTCCACTGTTGCTGTTTCTTTTGTCTTGGTACCAAAGTTGTAGATCTGCAAGTGAGTTGTCCTTCTGTGTCTAACGGGAACTGGCTCCAGGATACTCCTACCCCACTCCAAGGGTGATCAAATCCTTTATATAAAATGGAGCCGTATTCACACGCAACCTCTGTGTCTCTGTCTGTATACTTCTTATTCTTCATTGTTGTTTTATTTTATTTTATTTATTTTTAATAAATTTAAATTTTTTATGTATGAGTATTTTGCCTGCATATATGTAAGTGCACCACATATGTATAATTCCCACAGAGGTCAGAAAGGGGATCCAGATCCCCTGGAACTGGAGTTACTGGGATGGTTGTTAGCTGCCATGTGGGTTCTAGGAACTGTACCCAGGTCCTCTGCAAGAGCAGCCAGTGGTTTTTAGCCACTGAGCCAACTCTCCAGCACTTGTTTCATTTTTTGAAAAAAGGACTCATGGAGCCCCGACTGATCTCTACATAGCCAAGGATGACTAAACTACCGATCCTCCTGGCTCCACCTCCCAAGTGCTGGGATTACAGGTGTGCCCCACCATTCCTGCTTCCTGTATACTTTAAATAATCTCTAGATGGCTCATAATGCCAAACACAATGGAAACAGTACAGAAATAGTTGCTATACTATATTATTTAGGGAATGGTGTCCACAAAAAGTCTGTATATATGTTGATGCTGGGAATGGTGGCATGTGCTTATGATTTTAGCAGGACACAGACACAGGAGGATCCTGAGTGCAAAGTCAGCCTGAGTTACATAGCGAGTTCAAGGCCAGACAGAGCCACAGCAAGACACCATCTCAAAAGCAAAGACTTGGGCTATAGCTCAATGACAAACATGCTCAAGGCCCTGGGTTCAATCCCAAGCACTGCAAAAGTAAGCCTGGGGCTGGGGCGATAGCTTGATTGTTAAAGTGCTTGCTTTACAGGCATGAGGACCAGAATTTGAACCTTAGAATGCATGTGAGCTCCAAGCCAGTGAGAGTCTATTTAAAAAAAAAAAAAAAAACAATGTGGATGGCACCTGATTGATACCCAAGGCTGGCACCTGGCCTCCACACACATACACACACATGTGCACCCTCCCCATAAACAAATATATAAACGTGCATACACATTTTTAAAAATTAAGTTGAGCCGGGTGCAGAGGCACATACCTTTAGTTTCAGCACTGGGAAGGCAGAGGCAGGCTTATCTCTGTGAGATGGAGGCCAGCCTGGTCTACACAGCGAATTCTAGACCAGCTGGGGCTACAGAGAGACCCTGTGTATAAACAAACAAACAAACAAACAAATAAATAAATAATAAAGTAAGTAAGTAAGTCTGTATGTTGAATAAAGACACAATTTTCTACAGGATTTTTTTTTGTCAGTGTATGATTGAATCTGAGGATGCAGAATCTGTGGACATGGAAGGTTGACTGCTGTGTTTGTAAACACACACAGTACACACACACAGACACACAAGACACATACTTTTTAATATGTTTTTTAAGATGGGACAGACTGGCCATGAATTCTAGAGTACAAGCAATCCTTCTGCCTCAGCCTTCAGGATAGCTGGGACTAACAGGTGTGTCACTATGTGTACCTCATTAAAAGAACTTGATAGTGAGAGTCTATGAATGTTTGCTTCCCTTCCAAAGGTGTCCATACATCAGTGGAGCTTGGGAAATTCTGTTTGGGTGAAATGCATGTCCACCTGGATCAGAATGTAGCCTGAGTTACATGAGGTCATACTGGATTAGGGTGGGCCCTAAATTCAGTGACCAGGGTCTTAGAAAAAGGGCATGTAGGACAGGGGTTAAGGGTGCCTGGAACCCAAGCACTTAGGAGATGAAGGCGGGGGTGGGTGGTATATGAGGCCAGCCTGGGCTACACAGTGAGACCCTGTGTCAGAAAACAAAGGTCATATAGAAGTATATAGTGGAGAAACAGGGAAAAGGTCATGTGACAACACAGGCAGAGAGTTACGTTGTCACAAATTAAGGACTGCCATAAATAACAAGAAGCAAAGAAGGATCTTCTCTCTAGAGACTTCCAATGGAACCTGGCCCTGTCCACACCTCAGTTTCAGACGTCTAGCTTCTGGAGCCAGAAGAGGAGAAATGGTACAGTTTAAACCTTGAGATTAGTGATCATAGGACTGGAAGAAACTAGTCTGAATAGTAGCCTGCCCGGGAAGATATGTGTAGGACAGACCTAAAAGCCATCCGGGCCCACCCTCCCAGTCAGGATACCCTCCCACTGTTTGGGCTTCACAAGTGAGGAACTCAGGGAGTGAGTTCCCACAACCGAGACTCAGGGAAGGTCAGTGGGTACTCAAAGAGCCACAAGTTAGAAAGCAAGACTCCTCCTGTTCCCACCCAGAGCTCAGCCTCTGCTTACCTGGGTGCTGCTGTATATGTTCAGGGCAAAGCCCGACTTGACTTCCTTGATTTTGGAAACAGACTTACGAGGCTCCATCCTAAAGCAGTTGAGATTTGAACTCTTCAGGTCAGGGACATAGTTGTAGTGCCTTGCAGACACAGGCTTGCAAGGAGCAGGGCCATCCTCCTTCTTGGTGGTCTCCTGGTTGAAGTCACTGTCCATTTCACTTTTGTTTGTGCTTCTAACACTCAAGAGCAAGTCAGGTGTGCAGGACACTAATGCCACTGGATGATAAAACTGGGGAGGAGGAAACCAAACACAGTTGGTCGGAGCTCAGCTCCCTCCACTACCAGATTCATCTGAGCCAGCCAACAGGGCTCCATAGGGTAGGTGCGAAGGAGGTGAGAAGGAAGCAACCAGCATCAAGGTCTTTCTAATATCTGGAGGTTTAGGCTTCCGAACCCATAGAGAGCTCATGGATAGTTTGGGGGATGCAGGGTCTTTTGCCACTTGGAGCTGAGATTTTAAATGGTACATTGTATACTTCATGGCAAGATATTCCAATTTTTATCAGTCCTCAAAGAGTCTGTGACCATAATGAAGATTAAAATACTCCCAAACACACCTCTGATCTTGTCTTTGCGGCTAGTCTTCAAGATAAAGAGAGAACTGAGCATGGTGGCACCCTCCTGCAATCCCAACACCCAGGTGACAGAAGCAGGATTATCACGAGTTAGAGGCCAGTGTGGTCTACATGGTGAATTCCAAGCCAGCCAACAGGGCTCCATAGTGAGAAGACATTGTTTCAAAGTGGGTCTAGAGATGTAGTTCAATTAGTAGCCTAGCATGCAGGAGGCCTGGGTTCAATCCCCAGTACTGCATAAACAAGGCATTTTGGCATATGCCTATAAATCTCAGCACCCAAGAGGTGGAGGCAGGAGGATCAGAAGTTCTAGGTTATCTTGGGCTACATAACAAGTTTGAGGTCAGTCTGTGCTACATGAAATTGATCTTTGAAAAAACAAAAAAAGAGTTGGGTGTGGCAGTGCACGCCTTTAATCCCAGCACTGGGAGGCAGAGGCAGGATCTTTGTGAGTTTGAGGCCAGCCTGGCCTACGTAGTAAGTTCAAGGCCAGACTCTCTCAAAAAAATTTTTAAAAATTGAAAAAAGATAAAGGAGATGTATTGGGTCATCTGTGTCTTCCCACTGAGGGAGAAGAGAACACAAGGTAGATGCTAAAGACCCAGATCCCAGGACAACTTAGATAGTGGCCACCTGGAGGGTGGGCAACCCTGTATAGAGAGTGAGTAGTGGTTGGTTACCCCCAGGTAGTGTTCTGAGGGTCATGTTTCCCAGCAGAGCTTCCCAGTGGCCTGTTGAAGGGGTGCCTGTGTTGTTGTGAAGCCCATTCCCTATACGTGTTCAAGCTTAGCCTCCCAACACAGGCTGCTCTCACTCCTGGAGGCCAGAAAGATGGACCAGTCAGTGCACATGCTCTACTGCCAGGATGAAGGGATCCTCTCATGAATGCCAGGCTCAGTATGTTTTCTAGATCCTTTTCCTGTGGTCCAGCCCCTTGGGCAGCCCATCATTGGGTCTGAGCTCGGAGTAGAGGCCTCCATGGAACCCTCCCACGGATGGGCCCAAGCTGGGGCAATGTAGTGGGCATACCCACTCCCCGCCCATCTGAGTTTACTTGTTTGGGGACACAGGTGCCAATCTTGCATTTCTGCTGTTGTCTCTGTTGCCAGCTCCTCACATTCCTGCCTCTCATCTGCTGGCCAGCAGACTCGCCCTGTATCTCCACCTTCTTCTCTTTTGTGTGGAAGGATTTTTTCTCCTGTTTCTGCCTCAGGTCCTGGATCAGTTGCCTGCCCATTGAGGAATAAATGAGTATCATGAGCTATCAGTACAGGCATTCACCTCAGGAGATAGATAAGACAGAATAAAGAGACTGTCCCAGCACTCAGGAGGCAGAGGCAGGTGGATCTCTGTGAGTTCAAAGCCAGCTTGGTCTACATAGCAAGTTCCAGGACAGCTAGGGTATTTAAAAAAAAAAAAAGAATGGAGAGACTGACTGCCCCATCCTCCCCCATGAATAAGTAACTGAAGACCAAGGAGCAGAGTGGGGAGAGAACAGCCATCCCTCCAGCTATCCCCAGTCTGAAGAATAGCATCCTCTCAAAGACAGATGCTAGTGAAAGCGGGCTACTTCTTACTTCACTGTACTCCCATTCCTAGTAGGCCAGCCCTCATTCACAGCAGGTGCTGGGAAGAGGATCTGGTTAGGGGCCTAAGGCCAGGGGCTCCCATGTTGGACCACTTTATATGCTGGGCTCTCTGGTCAGTGGATCCTGGGAGTGAACCAAAGGTGGAATACCATACTGAAATCACTTGGTCTCATGAGTCAGGAGGTGGAAGTGTTCTAGTCCTGTCATTTGCTATGTGACCCCTTTCTGCTCTGACTTCCCCTCACATAAATGAGGTGCTTGTTGGGGACTGGGCCTTAATAGGATGACTCTCTTCTAGATCTTGGATTTAAAACCGGCCTGAATATATAATATACCTCTGAGGAGATGGGGAGGGGCATCTATCTCATGAGTGAGTCTCTAGAAACAGCTGCTTAGCTATTTAATGACATGCTATATTATGGAATTTTCCAGTTCTTGGTCTTTGTGGGAACTGAGGCATAGAAATTCTCCCTGCCATCTTAGGCCATCCACACAAGTGGGTCAAGCACAACCCCAGGATACCCTGCCCACCTCAGGCCTGGAAGGAACCTTCCTACCGGGTATACAGCTCCCGTGCTCTGGAAGCAACAGTATTCTGGAAGAGGGAGCTACTGTCCTGGAAAAACTTCTCATACTTCTCCAAATTCAGACCAGGATAAATCAGTCGGAACCCTCCACAATTTTCCTTCTCATATTTCTCAGTTTTCTGTAACCACACTGCCTGGAAACCCTTGACTTCCTCCATCCTGTTGGGAAACAGAATACAAGGCTACATTATGTTTTCTTGAAAGGAACATGTCCAAGCTGGGTATCTTCTATGGCCTTGCATAGAATTATGGTGGATTAGTATTTGCTAAATGAAAGCAAGAATGTTTCTGAAAGGAGATTCTAGCCCTCCTGGGACAGCCAATGTCACAAAGCACTAAGGAGCTGGTTAGAAGAATTTTTTTGACAGCTCAACCAAATTCCCTCACATTACAAGTAAAACCCATTTCCCCCTTGGTGTAGTCTGACTAGGCAGACTGTCGCCACATTCTCATTCTCTGCCCTTATTACCCTTCTCTGGAGAATAGCAACTTGTATTTTGCTAAATTTGAGGACTTCTTGGATGAACTTAATGAGTCTTTATGAGCTGTGATGATCCCATTCTTCCTCACAGCCCCCTAGGGAAGTAGAGCTCAGGTAGGGAGGCAAGACAAGCCCCTTTTACTACAGGGAAACCAAGAGCCACTGAGCTGTCCAGGCCAAACAATGCAGAAGAGACTTCAGTGTGATGGTTGCATGCTTCTGCCTGAGGAAGTCACGGACAGCAGCACTGTCAGCACAAGAATCCCAGATAGCAGATGCGCTAGACCCTGGGTTCAGAGCTGTCACCAGCTAACTGAGCTTGTCCAAGTCAATTTCCCTTCTGGAGTTGTGGAGCCCTTGGCTTCTAGCACAGGACCACATAGCACCCCATTCTGCCTTCCTTCTGCCCAGCTTATAGAGCAGGCATTACATGAGAAGGTGCCTGGGGAAAACAGAGCCATGGAACATAAGGGCAGGTATTGCCCCAGGTCCGGAGGCTCGGTCCAAAGGGATTAACCTGGATCTGCTCCTGCAGGTGGGGTGGGGTGACCGTGGGTTTCTTGGTGGAATTTGAAAAACAGCATATCACCTCTTTGACTAGGCTCAGGGTCTTCTTTCTGGTTGTTTATTTATTTTTATTTTTATGTGTATGAGTGTTTTGCCTAAATGTATGTAAGTGCATCCATGTCATGCAATACCTCCATGGGCCAGAAGAGGGTGTCAGATTGCCTGGAATTGAAATTATAGACAGTTGTTAGCACCATGTGGGTGCTGGGAATGGAACCCAGGTCCTCTGCAAGAACAGCCAGTCCTCTTAATTGCTGAGCCATCTCTCCAACCCTTCAGGATCTTCTGACACTAGAATCATTCTACAGAATGAAGACTCTAACTCCAGGGCAAATGTTGCCCCTTGGGGAGCAGGAAAAACCAATTCCTGTCAGCACAGGACAGGACAGAACTGACAGCTTGCTTCTCAGAAAAAACAGAAGAATGATTTTGGTTTTTTTATTGATAATTCCTAAACTTTCACATTAATCAATTTATTTCATATAAATAAACGTATACATCTTAATCTCCATCCAGGAACAAGGAAATATTCACAATAAAACTGTCCAAATTGCTATATTCTACAATCACAGACTCATTTTCTATATAGGATTATCATTTGTCAGCAGTGATCCACCTTGTTGGGCATGGTGGTGCATACCTGTAATCCCAGTACTTGGGAGGCTGAGGCAGGAAGATTAGAAGTCCAAGGTCAGCCTGAGGTATACTATATCCTGTCTCAACAAACAAACAAACAAAAAGAACAAATAAACAACACTCCCCCCAAAAAACAGCCAAGGGCTGGGCTGGAAAGATAGCTCATTGGGAAAGAGTACACAAAAAGAACAAATAAACAACACTCCCCCCAAAAAAACAGCCAAGGGCTGGGCTGGAAAGATAGCTCATTGGGAAAGAGTACCTCTAGGATCCAACTCAGGTCATCAGACTTGGCAGCAAGTGCTTTTACCTGCTAAGCCATCTTGCTGGCCCAAAGGTCAATAATCTTAATAATTTCTAACCAATTATGGTGCCAGTCAGTATGGTAAGACTTTGTGTGAATGATCTAATTTTATCTCCCTAATATCTTATATAATAACTTCCATTTCACAGAAAGATTCCCAAGGCTCAAGGAAGTGACAAAAAGGGCCACAGAATTAGCAGACTGTCAGTCACAAGTGGATCATCAGACTTGGCAGCAAGTGCTTTTACCTACTAAGCCATCTTGCTGGCCCAAAGGTCAATAATCTTAATAATTTCTAATCAATTATGGTGCCAGTCAGTATGGTAAGACTTTGTGTGAATGATCTAATTTTATCTCCCTAATATCTTATATAATAACTTCCATTTCACAGAAAGATTCCCAAGGCTCAAGGAAGTGACAAAAAGGGCCACAGAATTAGCAGACTGTCAGTCACAAGTGGGCCTGGCACAAGCCATCCTCTCAGAAGATAGAGCCCCTGGGGCCAAGGGTTCTGTTCTACCTGATCTCCCGGGAAGGGCACTGCTGCAGGAACTGCCCCCGCTGTCTCTCTTCCTCCAAGACTTTCTTTTTGTCACAGTTTCCCAAATTGATTAGGACTAACACGTCATACAGCAGACTGTCTTTCACCTCCTTATCCAACTTGGAGTCAGTGGAGAAGCTTGGAGAATGGTTGACCTGTGAGGAGAAGAGAGTAGTTGGGGATGGGGCTGACCAGTGCTGCAAGCAGAGGTGAGGCCAAGATGTGGCATCCAGGTGCAGCCTAGGCCCACCTCAGGTCCTAGTTACCAAACTGATGGAAGGGAGCCACGGTGAGAAAAGCAAGAAGAGGAACTCCTTCTAGTCTAGCATAATCAGCTTTTTAACCTCAGTCCTTTCCCCTCAAAAGCAGTTTCCCCTGTCTGATGAGTGTGTGTTCTCTCACAGATATCATGATTCCAGATTAGGATGGGAGGAAGAGGTCCAAAGGCACAAGTTTAGCTAGGGACAGTGGCTCACGCCTGTAAGGAGGCTGAGGGCAAGAAGACTGCCACAAATGTGAGGCCAACCTGGACAACACAGTAAGTTCCAGGCCAGCCTAGGCTACAAAGTTGGACTCTCTTTTAAAGAAGCAAATGAACAAACAAGCAGATAAATGAAAACAAAGGAAGGAAGAAGGAAGGGAAGGAGGGAGGGAAGGAGGGAAGGAGGGAGGGAGGGAAAGGGGAAGGTAAATGAAGGGGGAGGAGGGGAAAAGAGAGGAGGGGAAGGGAAGAAAGGAGGAGAGGAGAGAGGAGGGGAAAGGAGGGGAGGGGAGGGAAGGGAAAGCGAGAGGAGACAACAGGAGACCGAGGAGGAGAGAGGAGGAAAAAAGAGGACATGGGCAGACTCAAAGGCTGGAAGCAGAGGGATTCTTTCTGGAGACTGATCAGGGCTGATGGAGAGGACTAGTTCTTGTCCACAGAAAAGTCCATATTGTTTGGAGGTGTTACATGATATTTGTACATTTCTAGCAGCTTTTGAAGGCTTGCTGCTGGTGGCTCATTCTGTTCTTAGGGTAGGCCCTCCAAATAGCCCTCTCCCTCACACCGAAGAGTAAGGGTCGGATGGGGGCTGGAGAGAGGCTCTGCAGTTAAGAGCACTGATTGCTCTTGGAAGGGAGCCAGGTTCAATTCCCAGCACCCACATGGTGGCTAACAACCATCTATAACTTTAGTTCCAGGGGATCTGATGCCCTTTTCTGACAATAATACACAAGCAATACACTCATACACATAAAATAAAAATAATTTAAAAAAAAAACCGAGAAGACAAAATAACAACTGTGCTCTCCACTCTAATGTATGACTCTGCCATTGACTTCTGGTGAGCCCCTCTGCCTTCTCTCACATCCTCTGCTCCTCATGCACGCTTGATTGGTCCTCTAAGGAGGCCCAAACTAATCAGGAAGAAAAGCAGCCACTCTGAAATCTTTTCCTCTTCTCCTCCATGGGGCTGAGGGAGGCAGGGAACTCACTAAGTGATTTCCCCAGTCTCTGTGACAGCAGACACCAGTCCCTGATGCTGGTGCTTGGAAATGCTCAGGTCAGGTCCGGAGAGTCGGACAAGGCAGCTCCCATTTGAAACTGATCACTGTCAACCCAGCTTTGAAGAGGAATAGCCTCTTTGTGGGAAACACAAAAAGTAGAGTTGTCTTTAAAATCACTCTGTGCCCAGCCTGGGGATGATTACAAGCCTGGCTGGACCTCAGGAAGACACAAGGAACTCTAATTCTTTGCTGTCTACCCCCCTCTGGTGGCCACTTCTCAGCTAAGAGTGAAACCCCATGAAGAGCAAGCACCAGGAGAGGAAATGGCAGGGGAGATGATTTGAAACAATCCAGGTGAGGCAGGAGAACAGAGTTCCTGAAGCTGGCCAACCCCAGTAATGGTTTACACCCTTTGCCCAAACTGCCTTACCTCCAACAGCCAAGGTTTGAGTTTACAATCCAACAAGATGTCAAAGCCCAGGATCTCAAAGCAGGCGCTGTTGAGTGTGTGGCTGGGAAAGCAGGTGTGGTAGTTGTGCTTGATGACTGGGTGGGCTGCTATCAGTGTTTTGATGATGACATCCTCGATGGCCCTCCATATCTGCTCCATATCATAGCCATGTGTCTTCATATATGTGTTGAAGGTGGAGAGTTTCCTGGATAGGCACCACAAACTATGAGGCAGGGCAGGTACCTCTGCCATCCAAAGCCACGGCATGCTGAAAACCAAAAACTTAAGGAGAAGATAAAGCTTGAGGGTCAGTGAGGATGAACAGCCAGGAGCCAGGGTGACACTGGGGCTGGGTTGGCATGGGAGGGAGGCCTGTAGGAGTTACAAGGCCAGACTTCTCAGGTCTTCAGAGCCTTAGAGTGGGCATAGATACAGAATCACATAAAACAGCCTAGGAACTTTCTAGAAAACATCCATGAGCTGAAGAAAGGCCTGGATAGGATATCTGGATGGAGAGCTCAAAGGGTGAACACACACACACGTACACACACACACACACACACACACACCACAGTTTGACTACAGCAGCAATCATTTCTCAGCCTCTGGTGACCTTTCGAAACATTTTGGGGAGTCTATGAAGAACACTGACACCCTGGTCACCCTTCAGTCATCTGAAGGAATTCTGGGGACGCTAAGGACACAGAAATCGTGTTTTAGGGCTACCCACAAAGAAAGGCAGGCCCAAGGCATTTTCATACATAGGACTACCAACTGTCTCAAGCAAACTATGTTGTCTGAATTTTAGAACAGAAAGCCCCACATTCCACAAATCCTCTCAGTCCTGGGTAGCCTGAGGTCACCCAATCACAGAGAAAGTCAGAGGATATCCATCCTACAGGGGACATAGAGGGCCATGAGAAAATATCTGAGCCCTGTTCCAGTTCGCTCTGAGCTAGGCAGTGCAGAGGTAGGTAAATCTGACAGACCCAAGAGGCAGTGGTGGGAATGCACACTCACCCCTCGTGTGCACACACAAGCACATAGAGAGGCAAAGTGGAAACAGAGGAGCTAAAGGGAAATGGAAGACTGAGAGGAGAGTGAATCAAACAATAAACCTGCCTCATCCTGGCAGCTCAAAATATTCACTGGGACGGGGGGAGGGGGTGGGAACTGGAGAGACGGTGATGGCTCAGCAGTTAAGAGCACCAGCTGCTTTTGCAAAGGACCTAGGGTTCAGTTCCCAGTGCCCACATGATGGCTAACAAGTGTCTGTAACTCCAGTTCAAAGAGATCTGATACCCTCCTCTGGCCTTGGAAGGCATTAAATGCATGAGTGTACTTACATACTTGCAGGCAAAACACTCATATACACGAAATAAAAATAAATCATTTTTTTGGTAAGTTCACTGGGCATTGGGTATGGTAGCACATACCTGTAATCTCAGCATTTGGGAGAAAGAGGCAAGAAGATTATAAATTCAAATCCAGTCTGGCTACACAGGGAGACCTTGTCTCAAAAAACAAAACAAGGGGACTGGAGAGGTGCCTCAGCAGTTAAGAACACTGACTGTTCTTGTAGAAGGCCTGGGTTTGAGCCCCAGCACCCACATGGCAGCTAACAACTGTCCATAACTCCAGTTCCAGGGGATCCAACAGTCTCTCTGTCCTCTGCGGGCATTGCACAACATGGGTGCACTTCCCTACATGCAGGCAATACACACATACACATAAAATAAAAATAATAAATAAAATATTTAATAATTAATTAATTTAAAAAAACCCCAAGGACTGGCAAGATGGCTTGGTAGGTAAAAGAAGTTGCTACAAGGCCTGATGACCTGAGTTTGAGCTCCAGGATCCACAGGGTGGAAAGAAAGACTCAATTCCTGCAAGCTGTTCTCTAATTTCCACATGCACACGTGGCACCATGGTATGTACCCTCTCAAGATAAATAAATGTACTTGATAATAATAACAGCAATAATAAACCATCCCACTGGACCCCAGGGTAAAGGATCAAAAAGATGGGAGCAGGCCAGCATGCCAATGAGCTTTTGCTAAGGGACTGCTGTCTAAGTGAAACTCTGTGCAATGAGGAGACACCAAGAAAACTGCCACCTTTGGGGGCTGGAGAGATGGCTCAGTGGTTAAGAGCACTGCCTGCTCTTGCACAGAACCCCAGTTTGGTTCCCAGCACTTACATGGTGACTAACAATCACCTGTAAACTCCAGTTCCAGGGGATCTGACGCCCTCTTCTGTCCTCCGTGGACTTTGTACAACATGGGTGCATTTACATATGTGCAGGCAATATACTCATACACATTAAATAAAAATATTTAGCATTTGGCCTCCCAAGTACTGGGATTAAAGGCATGTGCCACCACGCCCGGCAAAAAAGTATTTTTTAAAGAAAGAAACTGCCACCTGTCACAGGAAGCCAGAGGACCATTTGGGTAGTCAACATACATGTGAAACCCCTAAGGATGCATTCATGTAAGGACAAAGAAGCAAAGGCCATTTGACACAGAAGTCACCTTCTCTATTAGCTTTTGTCAGGGGATGAAATGTTCAGTATAAATGAATTTCCCAGGCAGCTGGAAGTCAATCCATTCTAGTGGGGAAACACACACACACATACACACACACACACACACACACACACACACACACACACTCACACACACACAATTTGCCTAACTGGGAAATAAATTTTCTTGAAATAGACTACACACTTCCCTGATTTCTTACAACACGTTACAAAATGTAACTTAACCTATTCTTGATGACTCAGAGCCCATCACCATGGATACACTCTGCCAGGTGATTTCATAATGCCCAGTAGTGACTCAATTCACTTTAATACCAGGCGTGTGCTAAAGATGAAAATGGCTGGTTTCAGCCAGTCCTGCCAGGCTTGCATTTTTTCTGTCTTCTCTTTCTCTCTGACTGGAACCCTGCTCCTACTGAGTTTGGACCCCAATGGGAGATAAGGAGATGGCTGGGTCTGCCTTGGCCTCAGATGCCAACTTTGGGGAGGTAGGACAATCAGCATGAGGAAACTGTCTCAGAAGATGAGAGGAGGGCTCTCAAAAAATGAGAAAGGGAGGGAGAGGAAGAAAGAAAGGGAGAGGCAAGGAGAGGAAGGAAGAAGGGAAAACTGCCTGGCAAGAGAAGAACACATTCATGCTGGGGACTGAACGTGTCCCCCCAAGTTTGAGTGGTTGAAACTCAGCCCCCAATGCTGTCGCGTTGAGAGACAAAACCTCTGGGAGGGCTCTGCCTTCTTAAGTGGATTAATTCGTGCATGGCTGAAGAGCTTATTGTGGGAGTGGTTCTGTTATAAAAGCAAGCTCTCTCTGGCACACTTGCTGTGGAGAGATGGGCCTCTAGGGGAGAGAGGCCGGGCCAAGCGAGGCCAAGGTGGAGGCCCTGGGGGTAGATAATGGTACAATGGTACAGAGAAGAGCTGAGCAGTCAGAGGGCTGGGAGGAGGGCTACGGAGGGAGGGAGAAGTCGGGCAGCAGGACAGTATTTGAGGTCTGGAGGTGTAGGTCCAAGGTAGAGCACTTGTCTAGCATGTGTGAGGCCCTGCCTGGATTTAATCTCCAGTATTGCCAGAGAGAAAAATAATACTAGAAGTCTCCATACCCTTATCTTGGTCCTGCTGTGCCAAAGTACCCTGTCCATCAGAGACTGAGGGCCTGAGGCCTGTTATAATATCAATATATTCTCTTTCTTTCTCTCTCCTCTCTCTCTCTCTCTCTCTCTCTCTCTCTCTCTCTCTCTCTCTCTCTCTCCAACTCCTGGGTCTAGCCCTGTGTCTCTGTCTCCAGGGTCTTACTATGTAGCCCAGGCTGGCCTGAAATTTATAATCCTCCTGTCTATGTCTTCTGAGCTCCCAAGTGCTAAGATTACCTAGCACCACTGTGCACCAACCACCCTACACCTGGAGATGATATTACCTCTCTTAAAAGAAGGGAAATGAAAGCCCTTAGATTAAAGAAAATGAATAGTACCCAGAATACTGTGCTGCAACACAGACCACTTGAGTGCCACAGGGAGCCTGTGAAGCTGGCAGTACAAGACGGGGTATTTCACTGTCCTCAACCTAAGACCCAGGAACGGAGGCTCAGAAAGACAAAGCAACTAGTCCAGGCTTACTTAGATGACAAGTGTCAGAGAGGAGATGACATGCCAGGCCTCTCAGCACAGATGCTGAACACATACCAGTGCAGTCTGGGTGGGGAGAAGAGGAAGTGAGAGATCTTCAGGTAACATGAGGGTTGACAGCCTCTGAAAAAGGGGGTAATTGAAGCTAGGCATGGTATATATCTGCCATCTTAACACTTGGAAGCTAAGGCAGGAGGATTAGGAGTCAGAGGTTGGAAGCTAAGGCAGGAGGATTAGGAGTCAGAGGTTCAAAATGAGTTCTAGGCCAGCCTCAGCTATGTAGTAAGACTTGTCTCAATAACACTTTGGAGGGCTAAGGAGATGGCTCAGTGGTTAAGAGCACTGGCTGCTCTTCCAGAGGACCTAGGTTCAGTTCCCAACACACACGTGGCTGTTAACAACTGTCTGTAACCCCAGTTCCAGGAGATTCAATGCCCTCTTCTGGCCTCTGTGGACATTACATTCACGGGTGCACTTACATACATGCAGGCAAAATATTCAAACACATAAAATAAAAAAAAATAAATAACTACTTTGAGAAGTGGAGGTAGGAAGATCAGGAGTTCAAAATCATCTTTAACTACACAGCAAGACTGACTAAGCCTGGGCTACAAAAGACAAATGCATGCACGTGCACGTGCACACACACACACACACACACACACACACACACACAGACGAGAAAGAGTGATATTCTGGCCATACAAATTCCCTTGTTTTATATATTTTTACTTATAAATATATATTTATCATTTATGTGTATAAGTGTTATGGCTGCATATATGTAAGTACATTTGTGTCATGCAATGCCTGTGGAGGTCAGAAGAGGGTACTGGATCCCCTAGAACTGGAGTTATGGATGGTTGTTAGCCACCATGTGGATGCTGGGAATCAAACTCAGGTCCTCTGTAAGAGCAATCAGTTCTCTGAACTGCTGAGCCATCTCTCCAGCCCCCACATTCCCTCCTTCTAAGCAGGCTCAACTACTAGCTGACACGCCACATGCCCCTTTGCTGTTGGCTTCCATAAGACTCTGAGGCTGGTGCAGAGGAAAGAGTTTCTTAGCCCACTGCAGTGTTCAGAGCTGTGTGACCTCAGGCACCTTAATCTCTCAGTGACTCAGTTTTTTCATCTGTAAAATAAAGATGGCACCTAACACCATTCACCACCTGAGTTGCTGAGTGCTCTGACAATGCCTTTGCCACAGTGTGGTGGTAAAAAGTCAACAATGAAAGTGTACCCAGCACCTTGTACCTGCCTCAGCACCCTGAGGTTCCCCTTTCCCTCCCCTCCTGGTCACACTCATGCTCTTTGATCCACCTTTCTCTCAAATGAGATCTGACAAGACAATCACATGAGTAGAAAAGTTGCTTGTAAAGAAAAGCCCTCAGGAATCCTTTATTTCCCCCCAATTTGAAGGCTATCTAGCCAAAGGTCATGTGATGCCAGGGCATCATGACACATCAGTTGAGAATCTGTAATGGAGCAACACCCCAGGGAACTGCAGACCAAGGAGCCACAGCTGGCAAGTCTTTCTCACGTGGCAGACTAGCAATCAATAAAGTCTGTTGATCTGGAAATGTCAGAAGGGCAACAGTAACGAAGTATGTTTTGGTGTGTGTATGTGTTCTGCTGGGGAAACAGTTCGTGTTTATCTCTCCTCCTCCCAGTCTCCTAGGGTTTACAGCATGGCCTCCCTTTAATGATTAACAGCCCACAGGACTGACATGGAAAGTCTATTCTGGCCTGAGAGGTAAAGTAGTCTTGCTGAGACCATGTGACCCAAGATGGAAATATAGGCAGGGATTGAGTGGGTTTGGGAAGAATTCCAGAAAGACAAGTGAAGCTTCCCTCTTACCTCTTGCTGCCAGAGTGAGCATCTTGAATGAAGTTTGAACTGTGCTTATTGATAGAATAATTAGTCAGGTGCATGCAGATATCACCCTGGGGAGAGAGACACAAGACTGCGGTCAGACTGAAGTGCAGGGCCTCCTGGGTCCTCTCTTTGCAAACCCTACCTTCCATAGTCTCTGGGGCTCAAAGGGATGGAAAAGAAAGGGAAGTTATAGGCATACCTAAAAGAGCAAACCAAGAAGGCTTCTAAGAAGGGGTGTCCTGCAGCCTGGAGTATAAGAAACCCATTCTAAGACTGGGGATGGGGGTGCTCTATCTGCAGTCCTGGGGAGACTAGAAGAGGGCGTGACAAAGAAGCTCACCTCTAACTTTTTCTCTTTGATCACCTTTGAACTGTAGTTCTGGTGGTGGGAGTCAGGAAGACCTAGCCACAAGTCCCAGATGTACCCCTTCCCAACTGGGTGATGTTGGACAAGCCCCTTATACCCTGGGTTTTAATCTCTTCATCTGTAAGATGGGGTTAATGACCGTTCTCTTGGAAGGCTCCTGGAGGGTTAAATGAGATCCTGGAGTGTGGAACGACATTAAGTGCTCATCCAATGACAGCCAGTTCTGCAGTGTCTGAGGATGTGACCATGCTAAGGGGCAGAGGAGGCAAGTGTGTCCCCTCAGCTCACCAGGTTGTCTGTGCAGGGGTGGGAATAAGAGGTGGTGGCAAAACGGGCCAGTCCTTCATTGTACACAAAAACCCTGAGAGGGTCACAGGATGTCACCAGCACATAAATCCGCAGGTCAAACTTGAACCCATCAATGATGAAGGGCTGGGAGAGAAGAAGACGTGCGAGCATCAGAGGAGAAATTCACACCTGAAGATAACTAGCTCCCATCCCATTCTTATTCTTGGGGAGTCAGCTCCAACACTGCCTAGAAGTGTAAAGTGCAGCTTGACCAGGGTGGGGGGCAGGATAAAGAGACTTAGGTTCTGTAACTCAACAGGTTGGTTACCTTTGAGAGGTCACCAAACCACACTATGCCATGGGTTCCTGAACTATCAGATGACATAAGCAACCACCTCCAAGAAGTCTTAGTAGTCAGGCCTAGTGGTGCATGCCTTTACTCCCAGTACTTGGGAGGAAGAGATAAGCAGATCTCTGTGAGATTGAGGTCAGCCTGGTCTACATACTGAGCTGCAGGTCTGCTGTTGCTACAGGGAGACCCTGACTCAAAAAGAGAGAGAGAGAGGTCTTAGCAACTAAACAAAGTAACATTAAAAGTCCTTCCATGACAGGACACAGGGTCACCAGCCAGGGCTGCATTATAGTTGCAATTCTACAAAAGCTCTTCCTGCAAGGGTCCCCTGGACATGTTTTCCTACGGAGGCCAATGCTTCCCCTTCACCCACACTTCTAGAAGAATCCTTCCCTGCATCACTGTGATCTGTGACCCCAGTCAGGGAGAGGAGCTGGTTATTATGAATCCTCCAGGATTCAAATGAGGTAGAGCCTCCACAAACCAAGTTTTCATCCACTGAGGAAAAGGGTCAGCCTAGTCAGAGCAGATCAATGGGAAAGAGTGCAAAGATGAGGGACACTGTGGTCCAGACATGTTGGTTAGGAGGCTTGGGTCTGATAAAATCCAAGGTAGAAGACAGGCTTCATCCCCACCGCTGCCCTCCACTGACTTCATTTCACATTCTGTGCCATGGAGCGAGAGCCCTGAGGCTGCTCTGGGCAATAAATAAATAATTACAGTGACAAAGTACCTTTGAAATATAGAGCTGACAGATCATATCCTCTCCTGGCTTGATTTCTTTCACTGTCCGGGTGATGAATATCCCTCTCCCTTGGCAGCCTGAGTCTGGCTTACAAATGTACGTCTTATTTTTTCTTGACCTGCTGTAAGTCTGCAAATCTCCCCAGCTACCACAACAGGGAGGGAACAAGACACACCTTTAGCTGGGGAACAACAAGAAGGCTGACTACAAAATCAAAAAACAAAAACTGATAGGATGAAGCCCTAGTGTCAACAGACACCCAGCAGTCTAGCGGCAAAAACAGCAGAGTATGCACAGGAGATGGTATGGGCTTTAAAGAGAATTCACACTAGACTCATTTCCAGGTGTGCAACCCTTTACACGGACTTGGCCCCTTTAAGCCTCATCTCCATCTCTCCATCGTCCACACAATGTGAATGAGATCCATCTTGTGTCCCTGAGTTACATAGCACAATTTGGGCAAAGTGATGATCTGTGTGAGGTGCCCCAGGTAGTCTGACTTGGGTTTACATATAGGAGATTTGGAGTTTCGGCTCAAACTCTAACGATAGTGTGACCTGGGCCAGCTGTCTCTGACCCATGTCTGGGCTTCAGTGCTTCACTGTTACACCTCCACTTCAGCTAGAGCATGGGGTGGGGGGATGCCAAATAACACCTTTCATGTACATTAAAGAAAGTATACTTAGAGGACTGAGGACGTAGCTCAGTCGGTAGAGTGTTTGCCTAGCAAGCATGACGCCTTCGGTTCAATCCCTAGCACCATATACACTGGCATGGTGAAGCATGTCTGAAACCACAGCACTCAGGAGGTAGAGGCAAGAGGATCAACAGTTCAAGACCATCCTTAGCTACACAGTAAGTTCAAAGTTAGCCTGGTCTACAGGAAGTGATGTCTCCAAAATAAAAAAGTATACTTAGAATAAAGAAAGAAACCAGGCTGGAGAGATGGTTCAGTGGTTTAGAGCACTAGCTGTTCTTACAGAGGACCCGGGTTCTGTTCCCAGCACCCATGTGGCAGCTAACAACAATCCACAACTCCAGTTCCAGGAAATCCAATGCCCTCTTCTGACCTCTGAGGGTAATGCATGGCATGGGTACACTTACATGCAGGCAGGCAATACACTCATACATGCATGGCATGGGTGCACTTACATGCATGCAGGCAACACACTCATACACATAAAATAAAATAAAACAATAAAAAATAAAGTCTTTTTAAGAGACCAAAATTGTATTATATTAAAAAGAAGAAAAAACGAAACCAAATTAAAGCTAGGCATGGTGGTGCATACTTGTAATTCCAGTACTTAGGAGGCTAAAGCAGGAGGACTGAGTTTGAGGCCAGTCTTGGCTATACGGTGAGGTCTTCTTTCAAAGACCAAACAAAGAGGGCTGGTGAGATAGCTCAGGTACTTGCTGCCAAGCCTGATAAACTGAATTCAATCCTTGGCTCCCACGTGGTAGAAGGAAAACCAACTCCCGAAACACACACATGTGTGCACACACATACACACACAGAGTAAATAAATAAATGTAATTTTAAAATTTAAAAGAGCCCAGTGTGGTGGCACATGCCTTAATCCCAGCACTCTGGAGGCAAAGGCAGGTGGATCTCTGTGACACTGAGACCAGCCTGGTTTACACAGTGAGTTCCAGGCCAGCTGGGGCTACAGGGAAATCCTGTCTCAAAAACACAAAAACAACAACAAAAAATGAAAAAAAGGAAATAAAGCAAATTAATAGGTCCTATTTGTCTCAGTTTTGCTGTTCTTCATGTTTTATGGGTTTTTAAAATCTTTTTGAGACAGAGTCTCCCTATATAACCCCTGCCTGAAACTCACTATGTGGACCAGGTGGCCTTGAACTCACAGTGATCCACCTGCCTCTGCCTCTTGAGTGCTGGGATTAAAGATGTGGGCTACCACGCCTGGCATATGTTTTATGTTTTAACTCAAGGTAATCTTCTGGCCACTGGGGAAGTCAGTTAACAATGCTCCACAACGGCCATGAAATCTGGAGGCTCCTGTTAAGTGAATGGAAAACACGCTTCCTTTGACATTACTGCTAAGTCCTGGAAATTGTTCCAGAAAAGCTACAGAGAGTCTGGCAGCCCTGGAACTCTTGGTTTGTAGAAGTCTCAGTGGAGAATGGAAGATGGGCTTCCTAGCCATGTAAATATAATTCTGATGGTGACAGTTCTCCACTGCAACACCCTTTCACAACCACTCATGTGGCTGTCCATGGCATTGCATGGGACAGAGACTAAGCAGCCCTCAGGGCTCCCACTCTGGGTGCTAACCACAAACCCACTTTCTCTGGACACACCCATCTCCTTAAAAATTCAGAAACTGCACAGTCAAGTGGCTGGAACAAGTTCAAGATCAACAGCTTTCAGGGTCAGAACAAACTCTCATGCCAACTGTAGTTACAACCTCCAAGGCACCCAGCCCCTAATTGTCATCTCATTTTACAGGCAAAGCCTGTGTTTTCTCAACCTTGGACACACCTTTATCCTTTTTCTTCCTGAACAGTAGCAAGAAACATAGGAGACTGTATGGGAGGGGAAAGTAGCAGCCAAAGAACCAGGGCAAAGAGGGAGAAAAGCAAAGTGGGGGGTAGGGAAGAGAAGGAAGTAGTTGGGTACTCACTCAGCAGGAAGACACCAGGTCTTAGGGAAAAAATGGAAGTCTTTAGGGAACATCTTTAACATGCGACTCATATTGCGGGCCAGCAAGTCCTTGCGGCAGATTTCACTCATTCCAGGGAAGTGATTGATTTTCTGCAAAGAAGCCAAATTCATGAACGATTCGGGTCCAGTGGAAGTGGTAGATAGTAGAGTGCCATGAGATCCTCTCAGGAGACGGTGATAAAAATGAGCCCCCCACTGGGCAGATGCCATACTTCAACTCAGAAAATACCTGGTAACTCTTCATTTCCATCACCCGTTCCAGCGACACTGAGTAGTCGGTCCAGTAGAGAGTCCAGTCATCATTTTCACCTCCCTCTCGAAGGCCATACTGCTGGGCGACCCTGCGCACTGAAAAAGGAATTGAAGAAAGAAAGGCCTATTAGGCAAGGAAGCAGGAAAGAGCTCTGTGGGGGGAGGTTTCTTTCCTAGGCACTCCCAGACTGAGTATTGGAGTGAGAGATCAACTGGAAGCCATCTTGTCTCGTGGATATAGCAAGAAAGAGTGTGGAGAGTGGAAAAGCCTTTGAGGAATATATCCCAGGCTATACAGGATGAATGTTTGACCTAACCTGGCTTCCCTTTCTCAGAAAGCAGGTCTTTGGCTTTTCTCCAAACACTAAGCCCTAATGCACAGGGAACGTAAACCAATCCTTAAGCATAATCTAGAGCCAGGCTTAATTAGTGAGGTAAATTGGTGGGAGAAAAAGTTAGAACATGGATTTCAAACCACACAAAGACCATCACATCCTTGTTCCCTGGCTCTGGTTAGTGTTAATAGTAGGCAGCTGATTCCAGCACAAACTCAAATATCTTTAAGGGCCTGGGAAGGAAGAGGTGTCTGTAGGTAACCAGGAGAGTCCAAGAGTAGCCCAAGGCATTTGAATCTGAACTTAAAGTACAACCCCAGCACCAAGCTCTGTACCACAAAGTAAGCCTGTAGGCCAGGTTCAGTTCCCAAACTGCAGGTTTGTAACTTGTATTCTAAAATAGGTGCATTGACTGCAGGAATCTTCTACAATCACCACCCATGAGAATTATAAATAGCACTAGGTGTCATGGCGCATGCCCGTAATCCTAGCATTCAGGAGGCTGAGGCAGGAGGATCCTGTGAGTTCAAGGCCACCCTAGGTGACGCAGTGAGTTCCAGGCAGCCCTAGTTACATAAAGACATCTTGTCACAAATAAATAAGACTATAGATAGCTGAATGCACATCACTGTGACCCAAACCCATGATTCTTGGATTCCCAGCCTCCTCCAACAGTTTATCTGGAACAAGGAGAACCAAGGACCAGGATTTGGAGACACCTTTTTTTTTTTAATTCTGAAGCATACACAAGTGCCCTTTCCCAGCCTGTAGGGGGAACTAAGAAGTGCCCATCACCAATCCCTGTACGCAGATGCTTACCACTCTCATACCGGCAGTTGGATAGATTGATCACCAATCATCTGAAAAAGAGAAAAAGGAAAGCAGCAAGACAGAGACAGACACACTGGCCAGCACAAAGGCCTGGCACCAGAAATACCTTGTTCCAGGCAGAGCTGCGGAGAGCCCCAGCTGCCTCACTAAGCCTGCAGGGTCTGGCCATTTCCATTGCTGAGGATTTGGGTGCAAAGGGGTGCAAAGTGACAGAAACCATCGAATCACAGTGCTGCTATTCTGCCCATGAAGCAGACCTTACGTATTCGAATTGCAACTAATTTTTCTTGCAGTTTCATACAAATATCATTGCCTCCTTTTTTTTTCAATGGTACTGGGACTTGAACCCAGGACTTCCCACATGCTAAGTAAACACTTTAACACTAAGCTGTACCCCTACCTGCCCTTGTCATTTTACTCCAGCAGCCTATCAGAGACAATATTTTTATCTTTTTGGTTAAAATATTGTTCCCAGCCAAGCATATGTCATGGCACACGCCTTTAATTCCAGCCCTAGGGAGGCAGAGGCAGGTGGAGCTCTGAGTTCAAGGCCAACCTGGTCTACACAGTGAGTTCCAGGCCAGCCACACTACAGGGAGACCCTGTCTCAAAAAGACCAAAAAATAATAATAAAATTAAATATTGTTCCCTTTTCCCCACTAAGGGAAGCTTTTAGAAAGGCATGGCAAAATATCAAACAAGAACCAGTATTCATAAACTGCAGGTAGATCTAGAAAGTCACCGTGGTCCTGTGACACTGAAAGTGTGTGAAATTCTCAGAACAAAGAAGTACTTATATTATGCAAGGAAATTTTTCTTACTCTTTCTGCAAGGAGCTGTCTCCCCACCCATTCTTTAAAAAGCATTGTGAACACAAACAGAATAGAAATGAGAACAAGGTGTGATTCTAAATTATACACACTGTTACTCCATCCATAAAACAGACCATTAAAAGTGGCTTCTTTTATGTGAGCCGAAAGTGGTGATGGTGATAACCTCAGCGCAGTGTCTCCTCTTCCATCTCATTATCAGCCAAGGCCCTCTCCCTCCAGGTCCTTCCTGCTCTTATCAACACTGATCCCCCACCACCCCTAGCCCTCCTCCATCTTTCAATCCTAACCTTTTTTTCTTCCTCTTCTTGCCATGTTGCTGGGAATTCTGAAGGCTCTTGTGTGTGTTCTCTCTCACAAAAGCCAGGGTGACGATTTTTTTTAGTGCTTTCAGCTCGTCTATAGAACTGTCCTCCCTCGCTTCCGAGTCTAGCCCTTCTTCAGTTTCAGCGGTCAGGCACTGGAGCATCTTCCTGGCCCTGGAGGAGACTCTGGGGAAATGCCAGTCCTCCGTGGAGAGAGGATAGAAGGAACAGTAGTTACATGGATCCGCCTGCAGGGGGACCCCCTCCCTTGCTCATGTAGGTGGTAAACCAGAGTTCCAAAACAACTGGCTGTAGTTTACAAAAAAACAAAACAAAACAAAACAAAAACAACGCTTCTCCACCTCCGCTGTTGGTGCATGCTCAGGGAAGGGCTCATTCTATCTTTTTCCATGGACTCTGACCTTGGGGACTGACAACCCTGGCCTTGGTTTTGGTCCCCTGGGGTTTTCAGAAGGCGGCTGAGATGATATGCATGGCACCACCTGGTAAACAATCTTATAATTAAAGTGAGTGTCTGGAGACAGCCTCAGAACCAAACCTCAAGCCTTTCTAACTGAGGGACCCAGTCCCAAGAGTGCTGTGGAGGTGCACTGAGGAGGTCTGTTAACTGTTTCAGTGCCTCCATCAATTTCCCACAGGGCAAGTTGCAGACATGGAAATGAATGCAATTGTGGCTTATGGTGTGCAGGGCTGATGTGGAGCTGATGGAACAGGAAGATTCAAACCCGGGGCCTGGTGCAGACCTTCAGGAAGCCCAGCCACAGAAAAGCCTGTCACATCTTCCCACCACTACTTCAAATAAAAAACAAGACCAAATCACAAAATATATACAAGTCCAGAAATGTTCTCATCCTCCTCAGCCCCATGAAACTTTGAAACTTCCTCCCTTCCTTCCTTTTTACTTCTTTCTCTCTCTCCCTCCTTCCCTCCTTCTCTCCTCCTCCCTTCCTTCCATTTATCTGTTTATCTGTCTATCTTAGTTTTTTGACATGGGTCTCACTATCCCAGGCTGACTGACCTGTAATTAGCAAATCTGCCTCAGCTTCTCCTGTACTGGGGTTACAGGTATGCATCAACATAGCTAACTCAAATATCTTATTTTTTATTTATTTATTTGTTTTTTTGCTTCTTGGGCTTTTTGGTCTTTTGAAACAGGGTTTCCCTGTAGCCCCTATTGGCCTGGAATTCACTATATAGACCAGGCTGGCCTTGAACAAACAGAGATCTGCCTGCCTCTGTCTCCTGAGTGCTGGGACTAAAGGCATGTGCCACCATGCCCAGCCTATGTTCCTAACTTTTAATGTCTATGAATACTCCATAGAAGGAACCTGCCTACATTTAACCAACTGTTGCCTTATTGTTGGAAATGGAAGTTGCTTCTGATTTTGATATTCTCTAAATATCTCTAAAACACACAGTTTCAACTAGAGGGTGGTGGTATGAGTCTGGCTCCTGGGGAGGCTGAGGCAAGAGAATCACTTGAGCACAGTGATATCCCATCTCTTAAAGAAGAAAAACATGAAACATACTTTCATTTATAGAGTCTTTTACTTCTTTGGGGATTTCCATTTTTATTGTTTATTTTTTGTTTCTCTCTTTATTTGAGACAGCATCTCACTAGTGTAGCCAAGGTTGATCTAAAACCTATAGTGATCCTCCTGTCTTAGCATCCCAAATACTGGAATTACAACTCTGCACCATCACATCCAGCTTTTGTTTTGAGGGAGATTATTTTCTTAAGATAACATGCAGGGCCAGGCATAGTGGCATACACCTGTAGTCCTACCTAGCACTTGGGAAGTGAACACAAGAGGATCAGGAGCTCGAGATCATAGTCAGCTAATCTAGTTAAGAGGCCAGCCTGGACTACATGAGAGCCTGTCTCAAAACAAAAGAAAAACTATATTCAGGGGTTATATGGCTATGAAAATTGTGTAGCTTCGGGTATGTATATGTATATATAATCACCATGCTGTTTCCCAGATTTTAACAATTTAGACTGACTATCACCAGCAATGCGCAATTATAGTAGGTTCTCCAGAGCCACAGAATCTCTTAGGAATCATCTCCCTTCTGAACCCACACTTGCTAATTCTAGACAACGTCTATATACCACAGCCACGTCTTTAATATTACTGCACCTTCCACTTCGTGCTTTCCTTTTCCTGAACCTAATCCATTAGTGGTGGTAGAGCTCTATCCTATGTGGATAGTTCTGTGGGCTTTTCCAAGGATCTTCAAACGCATGTTCTCATTAAATGCTCACAATCACCCCGGGAATAGGGCAGAATTGCACTGTCCAAGGGCTGTGCTTGTTTCCTCATACTTGAGAAACATGGCTGTCTCAGACTCAAGTCCCTTTATGGTAACACCGGAGTACAAGGAAAAAGAACTGTATTCTGTAACTGACAGATAAAACCTGGGCCTCATGAGTCAGTTTTTCCCAGTGACAGGCATACCCTTGGCAAAGTTCAAGAGAACTAAGGAACATGAAGTCTTGACCTTGGGCTGCTCCCTTCCTTGCAGGTAAATGACCAGTTCCACCCCTGCTCCCCAGCCCTCCACAATGCTCCTATTTACCAAGCCTTCATACAGGAGTGGCTCGTTTACCTAAGGGTTAATGTTAACTTGGGGAGAAACTGACCCTGAATTTGACCTCTAGAGTTGGGGGTTATCTTTGCCCAAGTGGTAAGAACAAATCGTGGGTGTTTATATTTGTCCGCCTCAAAAAGAAGAACATGAAGAAAAAGCGTTTGTGGGGCCGAGGCAGAGGATCATGAGTTGTAGGTCAGCCTCGGTTACATGATACACACACACACACACACACACACACACACGCGCTAACACACGCACACACACACGCGCGCACACATGCACACAGAGTCAAATTCCGTCTGCTTTTGTATGACAGGGCCCCATGCACATAGAGCAAGAGACCAAATCCATACATTTTTGGAGGAAGAACTAGTTCACCATGGGATTTTTGCCTCCGCCCCACAGTCTTCCCCTGTATTTTAGGCTACCTATGACATGAGAGCTACCTGCATAAAACCTTAGGCAAGATTGCATATGAGGCTGAGCCTGGTGGTGCATGCCTTTAACCTCAGCTCTTGGGAGGCAGAGGCAGGCAGAGCTCTGTGAGTTCCAGGCTAGCCTGGTCTACATAGTGAGTTCCAGGGCTATGTAGTGAGACTCTGTCTCAAACAAACAAGTAAGAGAAAAAAAAAGATCATATATGACAGTGCTTGCCACATGTGGTCAGTTTTGCTTTGATTTTGATTCCTTTTTTTTGTTTTGTTTTGTTTTCTGTTTTAAGATTTTATTTTTATTTATGTATATGTATGTGGGAGGTACATACATGAGTGTGGTGCCGAAGGAGGTCAGAAGAGGGCACTGGATCTACTGGAGGTGGAGTTACAGAAGGCTATAATCTGTTGTGGGTGCTGGGAACCAAACCCAGGTAATTTGCAAGAGCAGTGTGAATTCTTTTTAAAAATATTTTATTTTACTTATTATTTTTTAAATTATATTTTATTTCATTATTTTTATTTTATGTGTATGCATGTATTGCCTGCAGGTAGGTAAGTGCACCCATGTTGTGCAATGCCTGTGGAGGAGAGAAGAGGCTGTCGGATCCCCTGGAACTGGAGTTAAGGATGGTTCGTAGCCATCATGTGGGTACAGGGTACAAAACCCAGGTCCTCTGCAAGAGCAGCCAGTGCTCTTAACCACTGAGCCATCTCTCCAGCCCTGTAGTATGTACCCTTAACCACTGAGCCATCTCTCCAGCCCTGTAGTAATGCACCCTTAACCACTGAGCCATCTCTCTAGCCCCGTACTATGCACTCTTAACTGCAGACCCATCTCTCTAGCCCTCGTTTTTTCATTTTTTGATACAGGGGCTC